ATATTTGTTGTTAATTCCCCGTTTTCTATGCGGATCCCGAGGAGGGCTAGGTGTGCCGTGGGTCGTTTGTTCACGTGTCATTGCTTCATCTTTTTGTTGATTGATGCTTGTATATAGTGTAAAGTTGTACAGGTTGGTTATGGTATTTATGGTTGCTTTCTTGTTCTCTTTTCTTTTCCTGTTGAGGCTTGCGTATTTTTTTTTCTCTCTCTCCCTTTCGTTAATTTAAACTTTCTAATTATTGACAGCCGGGTCGGCTGGAGGCTACGTAGAGGGGGGTAATGTAGTGACATAAGAAGGGAGGGGCTGCTGGGGGCTCTGGGACCCTGGGTGGGCCAGGCGCTTAAGCCTCTTGGCACCAGGCGTTGGGTTCCCAGGCGGGTCCAGACGCTTAAGCCTCTTGGCACCAGGCGTTGGGTTCTCAGGCGCTTAAGCCTCTTGGCGCCGCCAACGGGGGGGGGGGGGGGGCTGTGTGTGCTCTGTGGGATGTCTAGTGGCGCACACGGCCCCACCCCTCGTTGGACCAGGCATAAAAGGGGAGCTCCCTGGACGATCAGGGCCCAGTCGTAGCTCAAGACCCAAGACCAGCCATCGGAGGACCCTGGGACGCTGTGAGAGCCAGTGGTGGGACTCTGAAACTCCCAACTCTACGACCTTGTGAGGGCGAGTTCCAGAGCGTAGCCAGAGTAGAGTATCTTGCCTGTGTACCTAGGCTGTGTACCTAGGCTGTAACAGAGTATCAGGAGTGTTGGAGAGTTGGACTGTTGGAGAGTGTTGGGTTGTAATAAACAAGTTACCTCTACAAGTGTCTCCGGAACCCGTTACAGGTGTATGGAATTTATGTGGTTGAAGAATTGGTTCAGAACTGGTCGGCTATGTGGCCAGATGACGAACGTGTCATCTACGTACCTCTTCCACAAGGACGGACGTAGAGTGGATGCCTGGATGGCATCCATTTCAAATTTTTCCATGAAAACATTGGCTACAACTGGAGATAAGGGAGAACCCATTGGGGTACCTTCAACTTGTTTGTAAAATGTTCCATTCCAGGTGAAGTAAGTGTTGGTGAGGCAGTGTCTCACCAGGGCCAATACATCAGCATTCAGTCCTTGTTTGATCAAATCTTCAATGATTGCAATGGTCATCAATTCCATACACCCAGGCATCATATTAACCATGGAGGTGAAAAAGGATGGGAAGTTACCATTTTTGGATGTTTTAATTGAAAAGAAACCAGATGGCTCAATGGGACACTGTCTACAGGAAAGCCACCCATATGGATGCCTACCTAAAACCTGACTCCCACCACCATCCATCCATCCAAGAAGAATTCCTTCATCAAAACTCTACACCATAGAGCTCGATGTATTTCCGACCGCCATTACCTTGCCAGTGAACTGGAACACGTACACCAAGCTCTCAAGATGAATGGATATTCAGACCACACAATCCGTAAAGCTATCACCCCAACCGTTGGGAAAGAACCATTTGAAGATCCAATCAAAGCCATCACCTTGCCATACATAGCAGGGGTCACTAAAAAGATTTCCAAAATCATGAGCAAACACAAGATCCAGGTTCGATTTAACACAGTACATAAAATTATTGATCTGATCCCACCTGTGAAGGATGTGATCCCTGACATGTAATACCCCGGCGTCTGAAAACTAAGCTGTGTCTGCCGCAGTAGTTATATTGGGGAAACTAAGTCACATGTCCTGGACCGTGTTCGTGAACACAAGGCAGATCTGAAACACGGTAGGACCAATACCTTGGCCGTGGCTGATCATTGTTTTAATTCGGTGGGCTCACACGAAATTTATTTCTCTAAGACGAAGGTACTTTCCAAGCCCACTGGCTATTCACAAAGATTCGTTCATGAAGCCATCCATATATATAGACACGGACACAATTTCAACCGAGAAGATGGATACAAACTGAGCAATCATTAGAAGGACGTTATTAACCAGTTTAAGTCATAACTGGCTGTGATGTTTCCATCCTATCTTCCAATGTTAGTATTGATTTTCGACTCTCTGGTTTTACATTAACAGGTTAAATGTCTCACACTAACACGGCCACCGTCGCTCTTGTCCTCGATGTAGCGGTGGCTCTGCGATCTCACATTGAAATGCTAATCTCTCACAATACAATGGCCACCTCCGCACCTTTGTCGTCGTGGAGGTAGGTCTCCGACCTTACATTACAATGCAAATTTCTCACTTTAAAATCACTAGCCCTGCCGACTTCGTTTATGACCCTTGGGCTACACCCATTTCAAACCTTTAAATCAGCCTATCTCAGCAGCTTTCCCGATCTTTTTTAAATCATTTATATTAGGTTCACTTGCTTGCGTGCTTGCGTGCTTGCTTGCTTACGACCGTGCAAATCTTTCGGTCGTTTTTTAACCCACTTCCCGTGATCCAATCGAGCTGACATTTTGCACACAGACTCGTTGTGCGTGACAATTTATTTTCGTGAAAAAAATTTCCAAAATTTTCCACTTTTTAGGAAAAAATTAATTTCACTAACACAATCACATATTTTTCCTAAACACAGAAAATTATTCAAGAAAACAACAAAAATGTACAATATAAACAATCATACAAAAACTGAAAACCTTATAATCCTTATATACGACTTTCCTTATATTTAATTTAAAATACCAATGTGATAAAAATGAAACTCTTACTTAAGAAAAACAGAAATGAATAATAAAATAAAACCGATGCCACGCATATAAAGCATTTATAGTGAAAAACTTTGTTTTTACGGGTTAATTTTTAACATGTCCAGTAGGGGCGGGTAAGAACGTTACAAGAACAAACAGTACAAAACACGATAGTATACAGAACCATGTAAACACGTCCACAAAATAGGCAAGCATTTGCAACCACAGCTCATCGGTGAAAACGGTCAGAAAAACACAAACTTAATTTCACTTAAGAAAAATGTGCGTCTCAGAATGGAGTTCAAACAGGCGGGCCAACAACACCTTGCCACAAGTATGCAGAAGACGCTTTTCGTGGTCGGTCCCCATTTCGTTGCACAAAAGAGAAAATAACCGTGAATTTGAGGTGGCCGTGCTTTTACGACATTGACCACATTTATGCTCCCTGAATTAAAATTACCTTGAGGTTGGCAGGCATTGTTTTGGTTGCTAGAGCCTCACGATGTATACTGCAGTGTGTGAATTTGGTAGTGGGTGCAACTTCTATTACTTGTGCCAGAACTCCTCCTGACTTGCTAGTCATAACTAGAGCCCCATTAGGTGCCCACACCAATGCATTTTTGCCACTGTAGTCCGTTCTTGTTCATCAGGTTATCCAGTTTCTTGAATATCTCTTCTGATGTTGTACGACTTGACAAAAGCTTCACAAAATAAAAATAAACTTTCTTTAACTTCCATATCTGCTTCAAACTTTACATATGCAAGAATTTCAGCAACAATTTGCCCTCTCATCTGATTGCAATGAAAACTACTTGCTTTTCTCGATGTTTTCAATTCGCTTTTTCTTTTACTTGACAAGTCATATCTAAAATTGTTCTTGACACTGTTGTTCGACAAAGGAACAACGTCCAACTTGCCTTGCAGCGTCCTCTCCAAGAACGGATGAAGCAACACATCTCTTGCAGTTAGAAGCACCGGGGTATCACCTTGTGTGTGTGCATTCCCCATCTGAGCAATCCTTAAAATTACTTCAAGCGACCCAAAGCTCTTGCATTAACACCACTTCGAGTGGTTTTGTTTTCTCACCCGTCTTGGATACTTGCTAAGATTTTTTTAATCAAGAGCTTTATCTTTGGGAGAGTTATGCTTTATATGAAGAAATTTCTGCTGGAGAAGTGGAAGGTTTTCATATGGTGGCTTGCAAGGGATTCATAGCTATTACCATTGCGAATCAAAGCATAGTTAATAAATGCCAACTCTTGTTAAAATTCATTGTATTCTGGATCGAGTTATTGGCATTCGTTCAGTCGCCGGTAAAGCACGTTTAAAACATCCACATTGGTGTCCCATAAAAAAAATAGAGGGGATTACTTGGGAGAGAAAATTGGACCGAATTACTCACTCTCCCATATTAAAAATGAGCAACCGTCATAAGAACGAGTTCCGTTTCCTCACCACTCCAAGTAATTCTGAATGCCAAACAACTGGCATCATATATTCTGGTAACTTCGCGCATACCCAGCTGTTGTAGCAGCAGGACATGTTTCAGAACTGCCAGCGGGCCCTCCTCACTTAATCCAGTGGCATGAGCTGGCACGACTTTCCGGAAAATCTAAGGTTTTTTTTTAAATCCTTTATATTAAGTTCGCTTGCTTGCTTGCTTGCGCGCTTACGACCGTGCAAATCTTTCGGTCGTTTTTTATTTAAATCCTTTATATTAAGTTCGCTTGCTTGCTTGCGCGCTTACGATCGTGCAAATCTTTTGGTCGTTTTTTAACCCACTTCCCGTGATCCAATCGAGCTGACATTTTGCACACAGACTCGTTGTGCGTGACAATTTATTTTCGTGAAAAAAATTTCCAAAATTTTCCACTTTTTAGGAACAAAAAATTATATGTAATTACCAATTGCTTAATGGTGCCAAGCAATCATCTGACCCATAGGTGGCAGCCATCTCAAGCCAGAGGACGAGAGGACTCTAGCCGCCACTCATATAAAGGATTTATAGTGAAAAACTTTGTTTTTACGGGTTAATTGTTTTCCTGATGACGATTGCTTCTGTTGCGATTGAAACGTAGTTTTTTTTGTTATTTTTGTTATTTTATTTGAACCTATCTACGTGACTATACCAAAAGACCCAAGAATATTAATTTCTGCAGTCACGAAAGCTTTAAGTTAGGACGTCACCTCTTCATGATTATTAATGAGGCGGGCTGGCCGTCATGGAGTGACATCACGCACGGGACACACGGATATTCTTGGCTCATTATAGTAGAACATGTGAATCTGTCCCTAAGTGTCAACCTGTGCTCGCGTGTGGGGTACGTACCGATGACAGTGAGCCAGCGTGCAACGGAGCCATAAATCTCATCCAGAATTAGGATAATGACGAGATTGATGAGGAAAGCTGTAGCCATGATGATAGCTGAACGGTTGGATTTTAAGTAAGGGTCGGTACTGTTGGCCAGAAGCACGTTCATGGTAATGCGGTAAAATATCATTCCAACCACGATTGCAAATGAAAGTAAAACCTGCAAAACAAAATGTAAACAAGAATACAACGTACATCAAAGCAAATTATACATATCTGTGTTGTGTCTTGTAACTAACCACACGGAGACGTCTGCTAGGAGGCAACGCGTTTATTACAACACTCTTCACAACCTTATTTAACACTACTGTATGATCCCTTCCACCCTATATCCTAAGGGAGAGACAGCCTCCCTTCTAGCGTGTCCTACGCACTCCGGGCTACCCTACACGCCGGTCCCTCGCCACGGCTCTAAGGGAAGACTGGACTGACCGACCCACTCGGGGTACGGGACTCGCCCCTGGTCCACTGCAACCCCCGGCTCTACCCAGAGCCTCGGGGAGGGTCCAGGGGGGTCAGGCTCACCTCTGGTCCGCTACACCCCGGCTCTAGCGAGAGCCTCGGGGAGGGTTCCAGGGTGTCCTAGCTACCTCGGATCCACTACAACCGGCTCTAACACGAGCCTTGGTTGAGGGTTCCCGGGTCCTGGTCCAGTCTTCAGGTCTTCGGATGTCTTTAAGCTTGAGTTGGCAAACACTGCCCGGCCCATCCAGAGTGCCGGCCTTTTATCCCCAGGTCGGGGTCACCCCTCCCCTCATGACCCCCTCTCCAGAACCTTCTAGAAGGTCTTAGAGGATCTTAAATCTTAAGGGGTCTTAGGAAGTGGTGGGGGGCCCCCATCCCCCTCAGTCCCCAGCCCCTGGGGGGTCTGGGGTGTCAACCTCCGGTCATGGGGGGGGGGGGGCGGGGGTTTGACCTTCGGTCAACCCATACGCACCTCGCTCTCTCTCAGCTGCCCCCTGTTGGCCCGTGAGTACGGTGGCAGGTCAGCTGCCTCCAGTGCCTTATTATGGTGCAACATCTGTAAGAGAGCTCCTGTCGTTTTACTGTACGGAATATGAAATGAACTAAAGGAATAGTTTGGTGATTTTTAAACATCTGAATGGTGAGTGTACTGGCAGTCTATAATGTAGACTGTAGCCTGGTTCTTAACCTCGGTGAGCGTACTGGCAGTCTATAATGTAGTTTACAAATTAAGCTGTATTTGCAGCAGCAGTTACATTGGGGAAACTAAGCGACATGTCTCGGACCGTGTCCGTGAGCACAAGGCAGATTTGAAACACGGTTGGACCAACACTTCTGCTGTGTCTAATCATTATTTTAATGCGGCTGGCCCATTGTAGTGACGTGGAGAAGTAACCGCTTCAGACGAAGGCACTCGATGACCCTTGAAATCGTACTCAAATTTGAGATCAGGCGATAGTTTGCGGGGATACTATGGCTCACGACAACTTTTTTTCAGGAGCGGTGTTACCTCCGCCATTTTTAACCAGTCTGGGAAACAGCCCTTGCTGAACGAACGATTTGCCAGGTGGACAATCAGCAGCACACGGACGTCTGAGGCTCTGAGCATGATTTGAGAATCGACGTGTGGATGTAGTCCAGCAGCCATGTCTCATTTGGCAACCGTGCGATGAACATCGACACCTTTACCACCAATGTTGATGCCGGGGTCTCGAGTTTTGCATTGGTTTCAGGTTGATAAAACTCAGATGTCAGACTGGGACAATGCGTTGCCTTCAATTTTGAAACTGCCGTTTTGACCGTCACTATTTTATTGGCAAAGAACATCGCAAGTACTGTGCACAGACCGGATTGACTAGTTGATGGGGGGTCGGAGTGCAGCAGGCCCTTCACGACGCGCCACAGAGCACGGGGTTGACAGTCGACTCATTGACACGAAGAACATAGAACGATCTGAGACTCAACCATGAATCAGTTGGCAGATCTGCAGGCCACTCTGTAAGCGAGTTGGACAGTCTCACAACCAGTTTTCTTCCAAAGACACTCCAGCCTCATCCACGTCTGCTTCGCTGCGATTGCCTTCGGTGAGAGCCAGTTACTGTGCACATTCCCTGCTCTCTTTGTGCTTATTTGGATGGGCACGAGTTCATCAAGAACAGCAGTGATGTAATTATTTTATTGAGCTGCAAATGAATTGACCGTCGATCCAAGATTTAAACACCGATCATGACCGGATATTCTGACGGAAAGCATTGTGTTCCAGTCATTTCCTGTCTCTGTATGATATCATTGTGACAGATGGGCGTATAATCGGCAATGCCACTTTGCAAGTCACGAGACTGTGATCTGAAATACTCACATCTTTGAAAATATCGGTCACAGTTATGGCATTGGTGGATGTGAAGATGTGATTCAGTATATTTCCCAAGCGACATGTCATGCCACTGAGGTGCTGGGTTAAACTGTGACTGTCGATAATCTCCGTGAGATCACTCTTGATTTTACCATAAGAACCGGTTGGTCCGGGACAGTTGAGGTCACCACAGATTATGTAGCGAGAGCCAAGTGACCCACAGTCTAGCTGATTGTAAAGCTCAGAAAATAATTCTGACAGCTGTGAGGACGGCAGTTGATAGATGACAGCGATCATACGCCCCCGCATGCTAGTGGTTATTTTCACAAGGAGCAGCTCCAGTAACGTGATTGTTAATGAGACGCTCAGGACTTCATGGTGAATCGGTGCGATCCCTCCACGGTGTGGGCTGCCGGTGCCAGGCTTCCCATGACGGTGCTGATGTACAATAGCGTATCCGTTAGGTGTAGCCTCATGTTTAATTACGTCCGGTGAGTCATCATATACCCGGGTTTCGGTAATGGCCAATACAGTATGTCGAGTCCACAATTGTTGATGAGATCGTGCATCATCAGCGCCGTCTTGTTGACGATGGAACATTCATTGACCAATTCAAAAGTTAAGAGGAACCGTGGTCCAGGGTTTGGCACTGAAGGCGCTCTTCCACAATCGTGTGGATGTAGGGCAGAGCAAGAACTGACTAGATCTGCAGCGCAAACATGGTGCGAGGGATTGCAACAAGTGACGAATACGGGCTGGTCGGGGTCGGTATTTCCACAGCAGATCGTGGCACAGTGGGTGCCGGGACTCGAGTCGTTTGAATTGGAAAGTTGGCCAATCAGCAAGTCAAGAGAAGTTCCCGATATGGCCTCAAGTTCTCCAAGGAGGAGGGGCAGTCATTGCTTAACCAGACTGCTCGGCTCTCTCAGCCGGAGACCCACGAGACCAGGACCCTGGCCGCAAGCAGTCGGGCAGCAGCAGATGTCACAGCGTCGCCATCGCAAAGGTGTTGTTTTTGCTATTGTTGTTGTTTCTGTTGTTTTGTTGTTGCTATTTTTGTTGTTGTTTCTACTGCTGTTGTTTTTTGTTGCTGTTGTTGCTATTGCTGCTGCTGTTGTTGTTGCTGCTGTTGTTGATGATGTTGTTGCTCTTGTTTGTGCTGCTGTTGATTTGTTTTTGGTGTTGTTGAATGCACATACTACGCATAGCATGTCGGTGCTTATGAGCTTTAATGCACCAACTATAATGTAGAGCGATTCCACCACGGATGATCAAGTGTTATAGTTTGATTACTATAATGCCTATCTTATGATTTGTATAATATTTTATGTAACACATTATATAGTAACTGGATCAGTATATGGACACAAGAGACATTAATGAAAAATTAAAATAGTAAGGCAGTGCACGTGCGTAAAGCATTAATTGGCCGAACATAAACGTACATAACAAGGAAACACGTGTGCATAATAAAAAGTAACGTCACTGACCATGAATAAAATGCAGGAACAGTTGATGAGGAAACTCGGGAGCAGGTCTCTCCAACTGAGCCCGTACTCCTCTGTCTGTCGATCGGCACCACACACAGAATGCTTTAGTGTGATTCACGTGGGAGTGGCGAGGCTTTGTGAGGAGGCTCATGGGTAAACCTCAGATGTATAAAGTCCTGGCTTGTGCGGTACCTCATTTGAAGGGGATCCTAGCACTGTTCGTATATAAACTGTGCAGTGGGCCCTACTCAGGGCCGTCTATAGGGGGGTGTGGAGCCTGGGGCAAATCACACTGCTTGCCTGGCACCCCCCCCCCCCCCCGATGCCTTCAAACTAAACCGAAAATATTACATCTGACACCATGACATCGTCGCTGGGCCCCCCCCTAAAGTGTGGGGCCTGGGGCGGTCGCCGCGATCCGCCATACCCTAGGGATGGCTCTGACCCTCATGTGATATTGTGCTCAAGAGTTTGATTTGCAAGTAATGTTAAGGAAGTTATGATATCATTCAGGATTCATTTGGACGAGCACAGAATTTTGTATAATCCGGCTATGTCAAACTGCAGATGTGCACTTTTAAAAACTGTCATTAATACACTGTTTTGTTGTCCTATGTCAAAAATATAAAAAGTGTTTTTACAAAAGCATAGACGTGTATCTGCATATAAAATTTCACAGGGCGCAATTCATAGACAATTTACACCAGCTAATGTGTCTGATTGTGGCATAATCCTGGCCTGTATTGGCCCAATTCCACCATTTATCATTCATGAGCAGATACTCTCACTACTGGGTGTTCACATTCCACTCCACCTCAACCGTTGCTGTGAAGTGGCACTGTAAACTCGGGTGCAGATGAGGGTATGGCCCTGAATAGGGTCACCACTTTTTCCACTGTAGACCAAACCCAGACGTATTAGTATTTCTCAGGCTAGGTCTATTATCAAAAGTGTTCAGCATCCTCTAATACAGTTCAACTCAATACCACCAGATCTCATTATAAATCCATCTCTGCAACCCAAACACAAATACCAATTGCCAGACTGCCCAGGTCAAACCCGAGGGTGGCAACCCTAGCCTCAACAGTGGTGGAGGAGAGGGGGCTGCCTAACATTCTCGTGCGGCTGAGTAAGGAGGTCCTGGCAAGGAAGGGCCTATCCCATTCCCAATGGATCTGATCCATACAGCCTATACACATGCATGCCCAAACACATATATACACATATACAGAACTGCTCTAGTTCGTTTTGATATGGGGGACCAATACCGTGGATCTAATAATCCGCAAAAAGATCACAAGTAATAGGAGTTGCACTGCAATGGGTCTTTTAAGCACAGTGTGTACACAACATGCTGTTTTTACTAAGATTGTCTTTCTGTATATCCGAGTCTCTCTGTCACAAGGAGAGACAACGATGGGGACATAAATACACACAGAACTAGAGACAAGACACGCAAAAAGGGAGACAGACAAAGACATAGAGACACGCAAAGATACACAAACAGATCATAACCATATTTGTGGATCATGGGAATAGGGTTGCGGGTAATATGGGTTTTCATGAACCCTACAACGCTCACAGATAATAGGGTAATGGATAAATGGAGATCTCCTTTATATAATACATGCACTCGCACAACACTAATACAAACGCCCACTTAACTGATGCATAGAGTTAGCATTTTGATTATTTAGATTCTTTGGATGCTATAAATATCCACATGATAACCCACTTTGTTGAACTATCATTTGTGTCCAGGTAGCTTCTAAAAAATAAACTAATAGCTCAGTGATCTTTACCTGGTCAAATAAAAATAGTTTCGTTTTATTTGTATCTTTTGTGATTTGTTTACCTTCCCTACACTTTGAACGTCTGTCGTGTTTTTTTGTTTGTTGTTGTAACGTTCTGATCCGCCTCTACTGGACATCTGTGAAAAAGAGCTGTATAGCTCATCTGATTCCTCCAATATAAATAAATATTCTGATTCTTAGTCTCAGACAATACAGTCTCTGCCAGGGCTGGCATCTGTCCTTAACCTGGCATATTAACTCCATATGGCCCTTACACACTCAGACATGCACACATCATTACACACGCAAACATTTCAAGTCAATGATAATGAAATGTGGTTTTATACTGCATCACTTTCATCCCACGTGTCGGATCATACTCCTCACCATCCTGCTGCCCGTCATTATGGTCTCAGCCTTGTTCTTCCAGCGGTTATTGTGCGAGTCTTTTGACGGTTCCTGCAGCTTCTAAAAATATAAATGACTATGCATTACTTTTGGTTTGTGTTGAAATTTCTTAATAGGTGAGATTTATGTAACATTTACTCCAGGAAAATGGTATACAAATATGCATAGATGCGTGCTGTGATTTACACGGAAAAAAAGAGATGTAAATAGGCTTTGGGCAGGACATGTCGTACGTAGCCAGCCGCACCTCTGATTCGCACGTTTGGCTATGTACGGCGCGAAAGAAGTCCAACACATATATACATGCATACTGCCCATAGACTAACGCTATCCACAGATTCAACAATTCCCATCGACTCAACACTGCAGCTTCGCTTCGCACGGTTCGCTATGTACGACGATGCGAAAGAAGTTCGACATACACGCATCGCATACGTAATGAAGGAAGATGGCCAATGGACGAGACTGGTGATGGAATGGCAGCCAAAAGAGTGAACACGTATGAGGAGAGGATGACCATTGAGGAACAAGGAGCGATGGGAGCTCGTCTGGAAGAGAAAGGCATAATTGTGGCATCGGCTGGACGATGAAGGCTGATGAGGACATGGCGTGGTCATCACCCAGGAGTGAACTGATGGTAGCTGCTGAGGAGGATGATGATGACGTTTAATCATTCTCATCTCAAAGTATTTCAATTAGATGAGTACAAATAGGCTTTGACCGACCTGTGTTTTTGCAAGCTTGATGTCAACTTTCCTTTTTTTTTCCAGCAGCTTGGCTTCATACTCTGGCCGAAGTTGTTGCTGATAGAAAAATAACGCAAGCAGCCTGTGGTTATAATATAACTTACGGATGATAACACAGTAAAATATCGGCGAGCCAGACTGGTCCGGCTAGTTAGACTGGGTGCAAAAACGAATTCAAATCAATGTAAAAAAAAACCCACCATCAACCCTGTGTAAGAGTGTACGTGTACGTATATGTATTACTGTAAATATATTGGAAACATTATTTGATGATATTGCTATGGAAGATTTGCACAAGCATAAAAAAACAAAAAACTCGTGAATGAAAACTTTACATCAGAACATTTTAAACGTTATTATTACGAGGCTCCATGGTGTAAAATGCACTCTCTTATCCTCTCTATGATGTGCTACGAAGAGGGGCCTTTGCCCAAAGCGTTGCATATTATCTACGTGGGTTCATAAGACATGTTAACGGTTCATTTTTACAGGAAATCCGTAGACCTGCATATTCCAATGGAAAGAATGAGCCACTATTGAAATTTACATATTCCCTTAAGAGATAACCACTTACCCAGAAAATGGTACTTATTTTAACAACCCCCAAAAAGAATAATAACCTGATTGCACATAAAATAGCATGTAATCAAGTCTAGGAATTATAACCTATTATTATAAAACAATGCCAACGTTTATCACATTGATGGTTTATTCTTGTTTTCAATTTAGCATGCTGGTTAGTGCTGGGCGATTCCCACCATTCCTCACCATTCAGTTCTGGCACGGGATCTCGTGCTAATGGACCCGTGGGATTGTTAGAAATGTGGAACATCCAGCGTTATAGGGGGGTTTCCCAAATCCTGCCATAAAAGATGGTGATCGTGTGTTTCAGTGAGGACTCAGTGGTTACATGGCAGAAACACAAATTGTTTCTATTTAATTTTACCAGGTAAAGCCCCACTGAGCTATATAGCTCTTTTTCAGAAGCGACCTGGCTATCAAAAATGATAGCTCAAAGAAGTGTGGCTTATCGTGTGGAAATTTATATTAGCCAAATACTGTAAATGCAGGGAAAACCCGGAAAAAATCTACACAACCACGGGAAGAACACGCAAACTTCAAATATACAGCAGACGTCAGGGTCGGGATCGAACCCACTAACTCCTGTATACCAGGCAAGGTAGTTAACATCTCGCCACCAAGTCGATCTCACCTCACTCTCCTCCATGCCATTGAGATCCCACGTGTAATTGAGGCGGGTCTCTATTCGTTTCCAGTGTTCCAAAAAAGTGGTTGCTACAGACCAGACAAAACGTGATGCGTCTAAAGGTACAGCTCACAACATATCACACACTGCACAGACATCCCCCTAAACAATGATGAATAAACATAACATACTTTTAGGGTTAGACAACGTACTTACAAAATAAATGTAAAAATATTACATATGACAGTCTGCTTTTGTCTTTGTTAATCATCAATAGCTCTTTTTCCGTGCTTCTGATTGAAATGTGTACACGAGTCTTACTGTTGCCAACGCACTCAGCCTACGAGTGCAACGCGGTAACTCGATCCTCGACGACAACCAGCTGTACAAGTCACATTCTCAATTTGGCGACGTGATGGACGTCGTGGGCGCAAAGACGTGGGGATGTTAAGTGAGTTGTGTTTTCATTGTTGCGTTATCTAACCATGGAGACAAGGGTTGCTGTGACCTGCATCTTTAACATTTAAACAGGCGGGGTGGGAGCTCAATTAATTGTTCTCAGGCCATTGTGACAATTTATGATCGTAGCGTATTTGAAACGATGACAGTGCTGCGTTGTGCAGTTTCCACCACTGGCGCAGGACTGCCAAGGGAGATGAGCACCATCACGTGTTCATTAAAGGGACTCCTCTACTTACGAACGAGATAGATCCCAATATTATGTTCATAAGACGATTGGTTCATAAGTCCAACTTTACTCCTGTCGATTCCAAACATGTTGTACGATATTTACACTAAACACGGGGAATGGCTTTAAAAGTTGTATAATCTCCTGTTCTTCATGTTATGCAGATGTAGATGCCACTGGTTCTTTGTGTTCTATAGATGTAGATACTAATTCCCTTTGGTGCCCGTGTTTCCTCTCTTCTCTCTTCGAACCGGAAACTGGACATACGGACAGGTTTGTTCATATCTCTGAAATTTCGTAAGTAGAATGTTCGTAAGTAGAGGCGTCCCTGTAATTTCAAAGCAAAGGTACACTCTCACTTTGTGTGTTTTCCAGCCACGGCTGTGTAACCTTTAGCATCAGCCTCTTTTTTTCAGACAAGAATGTCTGCACAACAAAATGTTTGAAATGAAATATATAAATGGAAAAAGATAGGAAAAGGTCCTGCCCACTTACAACCCTTTTCACCAACCTGCTGGACGTTATAATTACTGCAACGTCAGCAAATCTAAGATTGTGAATTTTCATCACCATTAATATGTATGCCTTTGTTTCTCAAATCCAATGTTCTGAAAATATATTCTGTATCCCTTTTTAATATGCATTTTGAGACTTTCATCATGAAATCTTAGTGTGGCTGTTCCATTGTTAAAAATGGGTTTTATGTTTTTCTTGGGAGTTGAATGTGTTTGTATAGTCTACAATGGCCAGGTACAATGGAAATTTAAATTCATTGTTGGTCTTTTCCAGAGATATAGAGCTTCATGCTGCAATAGCTATTTTTTAGCTAGAGGGCCTCTTTACAAAAGTTGCAGATATCGATAGGCAGGCAGAAAGCTGATACAGGACCACTTTAGTGTGACCGCTCTGGCATGAAGGCTGAGCCCATATCTCATGTCCACACTGTGTACGCTGTGTGCTATGTAAGTTATCCACTATGAGCAACGGGTGGTGAGATGAGAACAGAAGGTAAAATGATGCGTGTATGCTCTGTATTGCATGACCAGTGTGCTACAACACCAGTGACCACCTGCACCACTCACATTTGATCACTTGGTACAATTGGCGATTGGGTTTACTAATTCTTTGCACACATATCACTGTACATTAATTATTTTAAATTTTTGTTGTTGCATTTTATCACGCAAATTAGGTCAATGCAATTGGGAAATGTAAACCAGCTTCTCTTTTTTGTGTGATCAAAATCGTAACATGTGTGGTATATTAATGTCTCGAGTTAAAATTATTAATGGGCCCTCACACTCGGGCGAAGTCTTCACCAGTGCATGTTACTCTCAACGATCTGTCTTAGAAAGTGTTCTTTGTATCTTTACCAATGTATAAATACTGTGATGATAATACAGCATAACAATTATGATTACATTAAAACATGACTATACATGTGGTCAGAACATAATTCATCAGCTGTGAGAAATATACTACTAAATATTCAGAGCTGCATGGATGTAAGTTGAATGTTTAAAAGTCCGAGATGATACCCTCATTCTCAGGCTGCTCGAGCCCAACCCCAGTTTTATGCCTGGGCATTAAATTGAAGAGCAATGAGATTAAATACTTGGGAGTTACCATCCCTGACATTTTCGAATGACCCTACTTGGTGAGTTTTCAAAAACTGCGACAAGACACAAAAATCCAACTCTGATCACTGGAATTCATTGACGATTTCTACCGCGAGTATCGTGCAATTGCTTCTGATGATTGTTCTCCGCAAATGTTTGTAATCTCTTTCATGTCCTACCTCTGGCACCCACACACTAAGTATAGCTCTTAAATAGTCAACACTACTGAAAATTGCAGGAGGTTTCATCCTCCTGGATTTGCTTCAAAAATGCCATCACAGTGGGCAGCAGATTGATTCATATTTGGTAAACCGAATTGGAGTGTCAGCCACCGTCTTTTGTAGGGGGACATTTGGAAGCATATCAGTGCAGTTTCCCTTCTGCGTGTACTCAGGGGTACTATTCCTATTGTGACCGGATGCAGTTAGACAGTTTAGTAATGTTTGTATATGTACAAAGAGTTGGCATATATAATAATGAATCATTCACAAAGTAATGTCATATGCATCCTGATTCATATGTTAGGGGAATTAACTGGTTTGTCTATATGTTGGCACAGGAATGGCCACGTAATTGCAAAATAGTAAAGAAAATCATTTTTTTGTACAAAATATCAAGATTAATGACCTTTCCTTAAACACATGAAACAGGGCCTACATAAAACAAAGCAGCATGCTTTGATGTAATCTAGTATGAATACCAGTGCAAACTAACAACACATTTTAACGTGAAAATTCTGAAATATGCTCACCCCAGAGGGCCATGAAGATGGAGAACAAGACGGTGGTGATGTTGTCAAACAGGTGGCTGCTCCTCACTCGGTCGCAGTTCTCACTGAGGCTCTTGTACTTGCACAGCTTGTCACACGTGGGACACATTGTGATGTTCTGGCCAAGCACGCAGGTCTCGAATCTGTCACATGACATCGCATTACCGGAGGGTAAACAGAGCATTACTGAGTACAACGAAACCATAACACTTTAAGCTACATAAATTTACTTTCGTTTTTTTTATTGAATAGTCGACTCAAGATGTACAATTACAACAGTAACATTTCACTACCAAAAACACATCTGCCCAGTAGAAAACTTATCGGAAATGGATAAGAAAGTACTGTGATGGTGATGTTGTTGCAAGCCCATGGGTGATAAATATTAAGTGCACAACGAACCTTGTTTTGGAGTTTACCTGATGGCATTAGAAAGACCCCTTTGCAAGATTGTGAAAATATAAAATGTAATTACCCTGGAATGTCTTTGTCAGCAGCAAGCCAGCCATACAAAAACACCGCGATTCCCACCACGGAAGGAGGGATAAGCATTTGCGTGTACACTCCGAGCCAGGCAAAGTAGAGGCCAATCTTCTCTCCAAAATATTTCCTGAAATATAATAAGCCACAATATTACGTTAAAAAATGTTGCAACTCATGCATTTGAATACTTATTCTATTAATGTAGTGGACGTTATATATTTGTATTAATATAATTTAGTTTGTTTACCCAGGAAAGCCTCACCTAGTCTCAAGACTATTTCAGGAGAGTCCTGACAAGTTTTTCGGAGTCGGAGTTGCTGAGTAAACCCAACTGAGGAACGTGCAGGCAAAGTATTCAGCATTGGGACGTTTGGACAGTACCAGTTAGAATGTATGATTTTTAAATCCTTTATATTAAGTTCGCGTGCTTGCTTGCTTGCTTAGGACCGTGCAAATCTTTCGGTCGTTTTTTAACCCACTTCCCGTGATCCAATCGAGCTGACATTTTCCACACAAAGTGTACAATTTTTCCAAAATTGTACACTTTTTAGGCAAAAAAAAAATATTTTACATATATTCAAATAGAACGCATTCATGGCTTTGGCTGAACGTCAGAGTGTAAGAGCCCAGAGCGTAACCCCTCCACAGGCCGTGGCGGAGTAGCGCAGTTGGTAGCGCCCTCGCTTCCCATGCCAAAGGTCGCGGGATCGATCCCCGTGTCCTCCACAGGCGAATATATTTTTAAATCCTTTATATTAAGTTCGCCGCCACGCATATAAAGGATTTATAGTGAAAAACTTTGTTTTTACGGGTTTACTTGTTTTTTATCTGGGAGGAGACCGATAGAGACAAAGGGATAACAAGGGTGGGACGTAAAGACTCCACACAGAAAGGCACCCTAGTAGAGGATCAAACCCAGGCACTTCTTGATATGTATATTATTTGTGTCATACATATACACTCATAGAATTCGAATTTAATAAAAACATGCCCTTTCCCATTATCCATGTTTTATCAGAATGATTCACGTGTACTCTTCACCGTTTAGCATGAGTGATTAGTGACTGAAAATGTGAAAACATTTTAACCATCTGGAAGAAAATCAGGCATAATACAAAGTAAAACTTGGAGAATGAATATCAATCCCAACATCATTCTAAAATTAAATATCTTATTTCCGCAATTGAATTGAACTTCAAACTAAAAAGCCATGAACTCAAATAGTAAATTAAAACATGGGTCACGTTGCTCACCTAAATTTAAACACGTGCAAATCCCTTCCTGATTGCAGGTGATATCACCCTTTGCCATATCATGCGTGTTCGTCATGTGATAGGTGAGGTCTCAACTGACCGAGAAAAGATGATTCTTAATCATGAGTAACACGGTACCCCTTTACTAAAACATGACTCTTTTTTAAGACTTATTTTTAGCACATTGAATGTTTGCCCAATAATATGTCATTTTGCATCGGGGAGGAAACTGGAATATTAGGACAAACAAAATAAACACATGAATGGAGATAACATTCAACATTTATCCAGATCGGCGAGCAGCTTGCTTGTTCTCCTGCCATCTCCTTGGCACCGCACTGGGGTTGATGTCTGGGTCATGCAGCAATTTCTGTTGATTCAGCCCCCCCACCCTCCGCTTCCAAAACTGTTTGAATTAAGAGGCCTACACCACCCCACACCAGCTCAGATTGTCTACAGCGGCAGTTCTCAACCTTTTTTGGCTACTGCTGACTGCTTAAATTTAGTTTCAAGTGAGTACCCCCCCTTGCCTTACCCATCACGGTTCAGAGAAATAAATGTATGAATAATGAACATCAATATTTTAACTAATTGTCAATTTTGTGAGGTATCCTAACTAGCTGGTAACTCCAAGCGAATAAAAAAAAATCAACGGACGCTCTGCATGCGTGACGTGATTTGTTCGCGCTCGCTGCTTACTCTTGTAAACCGCATTGTTTATAATCAATGAGTTTAGAAAGGTATTTTAATTCGTTCGAGGTTACCATGTCGATTTACATTTTATTGTAGTTATTTTATATTGGCATATTCATACATAATTATTCACCAATGACTATCATGTATGATATAATTTCACATATTTATAAATCACCTCACGTACCCCCTGGTTGAGAATCACTGGTTTACAATTATAGGGAAACTAATATATTCGTAAAAGCCTTTTCCCACATGTAAGAGTTCTATTACATAATAATTTTTGTGAAGGAATTCAAATGCCTTTTTTAAAATCATACTTTTTGCTAGGTATGAAAGCCAAGACATGCAAAGATTCAAAACTATAGTGGGAGGGATAACATACAGTAGGTTGCACAATATAGATACCATTTGGATCTGGAACATTTTCTCAGTGTAATTATGGTTGTCCACATGAAAACTCAAATCACTGATTTTTTTCCCTGATGGAGTGTGGGTCAACAAATTACTCCTATAGAGTAATCATTGGTCTGCTCATCACAGAAATGAAAAGAGGGACGAATGCCACCCTCTCTCTCTCCCTGATTATCTTGCACGTGTGATTTGTCGGATTGCAAACAAAGGCACAAAAATAAACACAGCCGCTATGGCACAAACAAAACCCTTACTTGATGAGTTCAAGTGGCTGGTACTTGTAGAACTTGTTATAGCTGGCCCATTCATCGTGCAGCAGCTGCACAGGAGCACATTGATCGTATTCGAGTTTGGTCACGTCTCAAAACATGATTTCCTGCACATTACATATATACATACTACGGCACTGGTTTATTACAAGTTCCATTACAATTAAAGCAATTACAGTAAACTCTCCATTATCCGCGTGTGGTTTATTAGATTTGCAGATTCACCGCACACCTGAGATTTTGACATAAATTAATAACTCACGGATTTTCCCTTCAGCCCAAATTAATAATCTTAAAAAGTTATACATTCTTATTCTTGGAAATGTGTATTACAAGTTACACAGTGCTTAAACTAATCAAATATGTGCTCCGGTTAATCCAAAATCCACATGATCGCCTCTAAAGTACAGTAGTTGCAATATATTTACAAAAATGGGCAGAGTTTGATGTTGATTGGCGTGGCTCTGCTGCTGTTCACTTAGTGGGCACTCTCATGGGCAGGAGCAGGAAAGTGTTACCACTGAGCACGTGCATCGGTCGGCCGATCGTTAGTATTTGTTCTTAATGTAAACCTATACATAGAGATCTGCAGAAAATGGATATCTTTTGAATGATATGCGGTCGTCCTCCCCGTCATTAGCGTGGATAATCGAGGGTCTTCTGTACATCAATGCAAATCGTAAAAACGCTCTGAAGTCATCGTTGTACTGAAAAAGTAAAGCGACTGTAGTACCGTCAATGAATACACTACAGTCGTATCCGTGCTCACGACTGTTCACACATTGAGCGGACACGGACATCGCTACTGACTCATGTAGTGTACCTCAACATTAGTCGATATTCATGGCTTTAAAAAGTAAAAATTTGTGAAAGATATCACTTCTTAAAAAAATTATGAGTATTTTTTTTTCTATAAGGTGTCGGTGTTACGGTGCCGCCATAAGACCTTGGACCTTTACACAAAATCTCAGATACAGTCTGTTCGCCTATACAGTATCGTGTTTTCATAACGTTAATCTATTAGTGTATTAGGGGACACATTTTTTATAACGCGGACGCTAATTGGATACAACGCGATCGAGTGAATGTAAAATACGTCGCGCAAGTAGAGATAAGCGGTTGTAGCAGCTGCCTCGGCGTAGAATCACACGAGGCTGCGGGATGCTGCTGGATGCTTCTGGATGCTACCCACGTGCCTGTCTTTGTTCAGCCTGCGTACGCATCTCACGTGTTATAGTATAAATAATATACTATATAGGGTAAAGACCCTATATAGTATATTATTTATTATAACGCGATATTCTTCAGGAACGCAACTACGGCGTTATAGAACAGACTGTAAAGCTGCAATGGGGATCTCGGCTAGAGGTGCAGAGAACTCGCCAGAAATGTACGGCACTCAAAAACGCAACAATACCTTTCTGTCGTTCACTTCACTGCCATGGAGCTCTCCCTGCAATCATCACCAACAAATATTTCAACAACATCACTCCAGTGCAATAGAGGACAATTACTACTTGCCGCACTTCAATTGTGATAACTTTGTATGCTATAGCACAGGTTATTGCAGTACCGTGTAGTCACAGTATCATTCAAACAATTTCACAGGGCAGCAGATACAATTGTGCAAAAACAGCATGTGCGTTAAACTCTACGTATTTATTGATTTGCCAGACATCCACGTAGAGCATTCCAGAAGTAACATCAATATCAATGTCACAGTCTAGACGGTATCTGGATACAAAGGCATCTTTAATTGCTGTACATAATATTCCACATAACACCCCGGTGCAAAGACGGGGTGGATTATAAACATTAATCAAAGTAAATTTAGGCCATTTGGGAAGGCATTCTATAATCACGAACTATCCCTGAAGATCAGCAAACATACTCTCTTTCCAGAGTGGTTTAAATCAAGCTCATCTAGAAAAAAATGGAAAAAAAGCGAACCTCCCAGTTCATGAAGAGAAACATTGAGCATCATGTCGACCACACGCAGAACGACGGTGGGCTATGACAACTGGTAATCAAATCCCAGATGTTTCCATGCCTCGAACAGAAACGACAGTACTGTAGCACAGCTTTGTAGTAAATTGCCGAATAATGAGATCCTCCACAGGAGATGATAGTAGGGTTGTCCCCTTTCTGGCAATAAAAAAGTTTTTTTACACTATGAGATCTCTTTTACCGGTGGCAAAATATAGTAGTAGGTTTTTACCCTTTTAAACTGGTACGAAACTGACACCTTCATTCAAGGCATCATGTTTGCAATAACCACAACACAAGTAGTCAAAAAAGCAAACAAAAAGAAGCAACTCTGATAATGATAATAATATGCACTGTCCTTGAAGTTGATTGGTCCACACCCGAGACGGCTTTCTTTAGAGCCTAGTCCCCATTGGTGTTAGACCAGATGACACCAGAAGGCGTACAACTCAAACACAGTGCGATATCAGAGTATTGAGAGCTCGGGGTAAGCAGTTACACTATGAGATCTCTTTTACCAGTGGCAAAATATAGTAGTAGGTTTTTACCCTTTTAAACTGGTACGAAACTGACATCTTCATTCAAGGCATCATGTTTGCCTCATGAATGGCTTGCAGAGAACCTCTGTCTTGGAGAAGTCAATATCATGTGAGCCCACTGAGTTGTAACAGTGATCTGCCACGGCTGAGGTGTTTGTCCTACCGTGTTTCAGGTCAGCTTTATGTTCACGGATGCGGTCCGAGACATGTCGTTTGGTTTCCCCAATGTAACTGCTACCACAGAGGCAACTTAGTTTGTAGACGCCAGGGTACTGTATGTCTGGAACCACATCTTTTACAGACGGTACCAGATCACGGATTTTATGTACTGTGTTGAATCGGACCTGGATCTTGTGTTTAATCAGGATTTTGGAGATCTTTTTTGTGACCCCAGCAATGTAGGGTAAGGTGATGGTCTTGAAAGGCTCCTCAACAGGATCCTTCTTGATGGTTGGAGTGATGGCCTTGCGGATTGTGTAGTCGGAGTAACCATTAGCCTTAAGAGCTTGGCGTACGTGTTTGAGTTCACTGCCAATGTGTTCCTGGTCGGAAATGCATTGGGCTCTATGGTATAGAGTCTTGATGAGGGAATTCTTCTGGGATGGATGGTGGTGGGAATCCGGTTTTAGGTAAGCATCCGTATGGGTGGCTTTCCTGTAGACAGAGTGGCTCATTGAACCATCAGGTCTCCCATTTTTGATTCAACCGCATTAATTGATCAGACCAAACAGTTCTCGTTGAAACCTTCTGCAGCCAGGCCACCAAGATTATACGGCTTGCCAAAGATACATAAAGAAGATACACGTTTTCGTCCCATTGTCTCTACTATCAACTCCCCCACCTATAAACTGGCTCGTTTTTTGTCTGAAATCCTACGGCCTTTCACTGGAAAAACCACCTCTGCGGTACTAAACTCTACTGACCTGGTATCGACAATCAAGGGGATTGCCCTGTCCCCAGACGACCTGCTTGTCAGTTTTTATGTGGTTTCCTTATTCACCAAAGTTCCTGTACCTGACACCATCGCAATCATTGAAGACTTGGTTCATCAAGGACTGAATGCTGGGGTACCCCCCTGGTGAGACACTGCTTAACCAATACATACTTCACCTGGAATGGAACTTTCTACAAGCAAACTGAGGGCACCCCAATAGGCTCCCCCCTATCTCCGGTTGTAGCCAACATCTTCATGGAGAAATTTGAGACTGACGCCATCAAGACTGCCACTCTATGCCCGACCTTATGGAAGAGGTACGTAGATGACACTTTTGTCATCTGGCCACATGGCCGGCCTGCTCTAGACCAATTTCTCGACCACATCAATTCCATACACCCAGCCATCAGATTAACCATGGAAGTCGAAAAAGATGGCAAGCTACCCTTTTTGGATGTCCTAATTAAAAGGAGACCTGATGGTTCAATGAGCCACTCTGTCTACAGGAAAGCCACCCATACGGATGCTTACCTAAAACCGGATTCCCACCACCATCCATCCCAGAAGAATTCCCTCATCAAGACTCTATACCATAGAGCCCAATGCATTTCCGACCAGGAACACATTGGCAGTGAACTCAAACACGTACGCCAAGCTCTTAAGGCTAATGGTTACTCCGACTACACAATCCGCAAGGCCATCACTCCAACCATCAAGAAGGATCCTGTTGAGGAGCCTTTCAAGACCATCACCTTACCCTACATTGCTGGGGTCAGAAAAAAGATCTCCAAAATCCTGATTAAACACAAGATCCAGGTCCGATTCAACACAGTACATAACATCCGTGATCTGGTCCCGTCTGCAAAAGATGTGGTTCCAGACATACAGTACCCTGGCGTCTACAAACTAAGTTGCCTCTGTGGTAGCAGTTACATTGGAGAAACCAAACGACATGTCTTGGACCGCATCCGTGAACATAAAGCAGACCTGAAACACGGTAGGACAAACACCTCAGCCGTGGCAGATCACTGTTACAATTCAGTGGGCTCACATGACATTGACTTCTCCAAGACAGAGGTTCTCTGCAAGCCATCTGGCTATCATGAGAGATTTGTTCATGAGGCGATCCACATATACAAACACAGAGACAATTTCAACCGAGAAGATGGATTCTGGCTTAGCAATCATTGGAAGGACGTAATAAACCATTTCGGATCTTAACTGATTGTGTTCACGTTTACGGTGACTTTCAGACCACGTTCCCCTCACTGGCATGGTGCAGTGTGCAGAGTAATGTATGGTGTCGTAATTGTATAGTAAATATATAGCAGTGTGATACACATTAGGGTGGGCAGAATAATACATAGTGTTATATTAAAATGGATAAGGCAGCAACTGCAACAGCAGCAGCAACTGCAGCAGCAGCAACTGCAGCAGCATCAGAAACTGCAGCAGCAGCAGAAACTGCAGCAGCAGCAACTGCAGCAGCAGCAACTGCAGCAGCAACTGCAGCAGCAACTGCAGCAGCAACTGCAGCAGTAGCAGCAGCAACTGCAGCTTCCTTTGATTCTATTAATCCTGCATAATGCACATGCATATGTAGTACTAATCACATTCCTGCATTTCCCATAAATATGCTAAATTCCTCTTGATATGCAAATTCCTTTGTCAAGGCGCCCAGCTTATATATATGCTCCAAGCTCGTATGCTGTTTCATTCAGACTCTGTCGCCTCGACGGACCTGGTTTTCACCTGAGGACGGCTGCTTGCGTTGTGGCCGAAACGTCGTGAGAATATTTTTATTATGTTTTATTTTTATTATTTTATTACTTCCCTTCTACGTGACTTTACCGAACGAACCAAGAAGATGAATCCCTGCAGTCACGAAAGCTTTAAATCGAAATTTAACCGCCTCTACGGGGAGGGTTTCCACATAACTTTGAGATCCTTTAACAAGCTCCGGGATAAGAAGGCTCAGCTAATCGAGTCTCTCACCTTTCTGAAGAGATGCCGCGACTCTAAGGTAATACCAAACGCATTTACACTAACATCTGCTGCTGTAACTTCTTCTAATGCTAAACGAATTCTGTCTAGAACTAGCTTAGCTCTTATCTCAGAGAAAATCAGACTTACGCGCACCGATCTAGATCAGTTAGACAAGACACTCTACAAATCACACTTATCTTTGAGTGCAACAATGTCCACATCGGATTGGGAACATGTAGATAAAATGACTGCCTCTTCAGCTGCCGCTATGTCGACCAAATGTAAGAACAACTTGATTTCCAAATTCGATCGCCTCTCAAAGTAAGAAATCGGACCCACACATTGAAAAGCTAGATGTTAACAAAGTCGTAATTAATCGCAGTAACAGTTCTATTTCTGAAGGCCTGAAATCCGTTTTAGCTAAAGGACTAAACTTTGCAGTCACACCTAGACACCAGTTAATGATATAATTGCTAGAGTAGATGTAGCTCTCAAGGGCCTGAGTCACATCGCTGCAGACGTAGCAAGATCTGAAATCTCTGCAACCCTCAAAAACGCTAAGATGCCAGCTCGTAACATCAGCAAAGATGAGCGTTTTGAATTAGCTCAATTAAAAAAGAGGGATGACATTGTCATCCTCTCAGCCGACAAAGGCAATGCCACTGTCATCATGGACAAAACAGAATACAACAACAAAATCCAAGAACTACTCAACGATGGCAGCTATACAAAAATAAAAAGAGACCCCACCAACAGCCTCATCTCTAAAACCAAGCAAATGATTTCTGATTCAACCACATTAATTGATCAGACCAAACAGTTCTCGTTGAAACCTTCTGCAGCCAGGCCACCAAGATTATACAGCTTGCCAAAGATACATAAAGAAGATACACCTCTTCGTCCCATTGTCTCTACTATCAACTCCCCCACCTATAAACTGGCTCGTTTTTTGTCTGAAATCCTACGGCCTTTCACTGGAAAAACCACCTCTGCGGTACTAAACTCTACTGACCTGGTATCGACAATCAAGGGGATTGCCCTGTCCCCAGACGACCTGCTTGTCAGTTTTGATGTGGTTTCCTTATTCACCAAAGTTCCTGTACCTGACACCATCGCAATCATTGAAGACTTGGTTCATCAAGGACTGAATGCTGGGGTACCCCCCTGGTGAGACACTGCTTAACCAATACATACTTCACCTGGAATGGAACTTTCTATAAGCAAACTGAGGGCACCCCAATGGGCTCCCCCCTATCTCCGGTTGTAGCCAACATCTTCATGGAGAAATTTGAGACTGACGCCATCAAGACTGCCACTCTACGCCCGACCTTATGGAAGAGGTACGTAGATGACACTTTTGTCATCTGGCCACATGGCCGGCCTGCTCTAGACCAATTTCTCGACCACATCAATTCCATACACCCAGCCATCAGATTCACCATGGAAGTCGAAAAAGATGGCAAGCTACCCTTTTTGGATGTCCTAATTAAAAGGAGACCTGATGGTTCAATGAGCCACTCTGTCGACAGGAAAGCCACCCATACGGATGCTTACCTAAAACCGGATTCCCACCACCATCCATCCCAGAAGAATTCCCTCATCAAGACTCTATACCATAGAGCCCAATGCATTTCCGACCAGGAACACATTGGCAGTGAACTCAAACACGTACGCCAAGCTCTTAAGGCTAATGGTTACTCCGACTACACAATCCGCAAGGCCATCACTCCAACCATCAAGAAGGATCCTGTTGAGGAGCCTTTCATGACCATCACCTTACCCTACATTGCTGGGGTCACAAAAAAGATCTCCAAAATCCTGATTAAACACAAGATCCAGGTCCGATTCAACACAGTACATAAAATCCGTGATCTGGTCCCGTCTGTAAAATATGTGGTTCCAGACATACAGTATCCTGGCGTCTACAAACTAAGTTGCCTCTGTGGTAGCAGTTACATTGGAGAAACCAAACGACATGTCTCGGACCGCATCCGTGAACATAAATCAGACCTGAAACACGGTAGGACAAACACCTCAGCCGTGGCAGATCACTGTTACAATTCAGTGGGCTCACATGACATTGACTTCTCCAAGACAGAGGTTTTCTGCAAGCCATCTGGCTATCATGAGAGATTCGTTCATGAGGCGATCCACATATACACACACAGAGACAATTTCAACCGAGAAGATGGATTCTGGCTTAGCAATCATTGGAAGGACGTAATAAACCATTTCGGATCTTAACTGATTGTGTTCACGTTTACGGTGACTTTCAGACCACGTTCCACTCACTGGCATGGTGCAGTGTGCAGAGTAATGTATGGTGTCGTAATTGTATAGTAAATATATAGCAGTGTGATACACATTAGGGTGGGTAGAATAATACATAGTGTTATATTAAAATGGATAAGGCAGCAACTGCAACAGCAGCAGCAACTGCAGCAGCAGCAGCAACTGCAGCAGCAGCAGAAACTGCAACAGCAGCAGAAACTGCAGCAGCAGCAGCAACTGCAGCAGCAGCAACTGCAGCAACTGCAGCAGCAGCAGCAGCAGCAACTGCAGCTCCCTTTGATGCTGTTAATCCTGCATAATGCACATGCATATGTAGTACTAATCACATTCCTGCATTTCCCATAAATATGCTAAATTCCTCTTGATATGCAAATTCCTTTGTCAAGGCGCCCAGTTTATATATATGCTCCAAGCTCGTGTGCTGTTTCATTCAGACTCTGTCGCCTCGACGGACCTGGTTTTCACCTGAGCACGGCTGCTTCCGTTGTGGCCGAAACGTCGTGAACATAATTGTATTATGTTTTATTTTTATTATTTTATTACTTCCCTTCTACGTGACTTTACCGAAAGAACCAAGAAGATGAATCCCTGCAGTCACGAAAGCTTTAAATCGAAATTTAGGTGTTAAGATATTAAAACACCAAACTGAAACCTTTGCAAGGAATCATGTTTGCATTAACCACATGCACTGTTTGAGACTCGGCTCTAAAGAAAGCTGTCTTTGGTGTGGACCAATCAGTTTCAAAGACAATGCACATACTGTCAGAGCATGTTTTTTTGTTTGAATGTCCACTACAAGTACTGTGTGGTTAATGCAGACATTATTCCTTGCAAAGGTTTCAGTTTGGTGTTTAAACATCTTAAAACCTGTTTTATTACCAGAAAGGGGAAAACTCTAGTATCATAATTTAATACTGGCAAAGTAGGTCCCATGATGTAGCTCCACAGGAGATGCTCCAGTTTTACTTACGTCATGCAGCGGGAATGCAGAAGTATACACTCCGTTGGCGATAAGACTCGTGATGCCTGCAAAAATATGAAAAAAAGACAGATTCACCATCACCGGCCATTGTCTATTCACTGCTGGATGATGACCTCCTCAAGCGGTTTGTCATCCCTCACAGTCCAGCGGTGCTACCATACATCGCACTCCTGCACACGAACGGATCTCATCACTGCATCTGCCTCGGCAGTCGTCCTCCTAGAAGCATTCTCACCTTTGGCTGTCAATCCATCGGCTCTATCAGCCAATGACCATCATCCCATCTAGCGATGCGTTCTGCCCAAGTCAATTCACTTTCCTTAATATGACGTCTCTGCCTTGGGTGTGTTCACTGATCCACGTGTTCCTCTTTTTACACGCTTTCTATTAACTCTGTTGTTGTTGTTGTTGTCGTATCCTCAAATCTTGTAACTCAATTTTAATCCACTTCCCAATGTGCTATCGACTGCAAACTTGGTATACTTATGTCATACTGATGACAATACTATATTCTATCATTAAAAATTAAAAATATTTTTAAACCATCTTTTGTATATGTCATGTTTCGGCTTGGGTCTAATGGTCCACGCTCAACTGACGTTGGCTGTAGATCACCATGGCCCCTTACGTTATGGCAAGCTTCGGGGCCACTTCCTGAAGTCGTGGAGTTCTGCCATTTAAAAAAAAGTATTTTAAAATATTACTTATTTGTCTCTCAGTGGTAATATCTAGCGTGTGTCTCTGCATGCATTCTTTGCACTTTTCAGTTTTGTTTCGTTTTCTCCGTCAGTGTCCGCATGTCATGTCCTGCAGTGTGCACTGCTTGAAAACACGTTCTATCGGAGTGGGCAGGTAGGAACTTGGTTGGACAGCGTGGCGTTGGGGCATGAGTGGGCATGTTGACCCTTCCCCCCCACCCTCCCCGACATCGTCAACCAACCAATCGCGGCGTAGCTTGGTGTTCGGTGGGGAGGTGCATGGGTGGGCGGAATTCCGGATATGCACGACAGACAGACACATAATCCCTGATGAGCAGTGTGGAACCTGTTGTTCCTACCTGTATAACACTCTAGGTAACTAAGACTCACACACACATACACTCACTCTCACACTCTGAGACTCACACACACACACTCTCATACTCTCAGACTCGCACACACATACACTCACTCTCACACTCTCAAACTCACACACACACTCTCACACTCTCATACTCACACACACTCTCAGACTCGCACACACACTCGCTCTCAGACTCACACACACACTCACATCTCACACTTTCAGACTCACACACACACTCACTACTCACACTCTCAGACTCGCACACACACTCACTCTCACACACACACAATCTCACACTCTCAGACTCACACACACACTCACATCTCACACTTTCAGACTCACACACACACTCACTACTCACACTCTCAGACTCACACACACATACACTCACTCTCACACTCTCAGACTCACACACACACACTCACTCTCACACTCTCAGACTCACACACTCACGCTCACACTCTCAGACTCTCAGACTCACACACTCACTCTCACACTCTCAGACTCGCACACACACACTCAGTCTCACACACACACTCTCACACTTTCAGACACACACACACACACTCTCAGACACACACACACACTCACGCCCACACTCTCACTCATACACATACTCTCACACTCTCAGACTCACACACACACTCACATCTCACACTCTCAGACTCACACGCACATACACTCACTCTCACACTCTCAGACTCACACACACACACTCTCAGACTCACACACACACACTCACTCTCACACTCCCAGACTCACACACACTCACTCACACTCTTAGACTCACACACGCATACACTCACTCTCACACTCTCAGACTCACACAACAACAACAACCGCCATTCGCCACTAAGTGGCGGTAACGTCACCACGACGCTTGTGCCAGGCCAAGTGCACCTTGAGGCCACGTGAAGTGTCGAACGCCCGCTGGCAGGAGGTCACGGGGCAGACTCAGGTGCCACGGGTCGACTGACCGAGATGACTGGCTGATGCACCACCTGTGCCCCCTACTGTACCAACTTGCTGTGCTTTAGCCACCCGGCGCTCTGCTCGTTGTTGTGCGCGTCGCTCCTCCGCCCTCCGTTGTTGTTGGAGGGCGACTGCCTCCAACTGCCCAGTAGCGTCCTTCACGAGCCTCCTCCACAGATGCCGATCTTGACACCGCTGGTACCAGTCATCGGCAAGTCCACTCAGCTCCACGTCCTCCTGTACCACATCACTCCATGTCTTCTCTAGCCCGTGCCGCGCCCGTTTAGCCCCCTCGATCCGGCCGAACAAAAGCTGTTTAGGCATGTGGTGGCTGGGCATGCGGGCTACATGACCCAGCCAACGCAGCCTTGCCTGCCGGAGGAGCTCACCGATGGGACTTTGCCCAGATATTTCAAGCATTTGTGAGCTCCTCACACAATCCAGCCTGGTTAAACCCAGGATGGATCGTAGGCAGGCCAGCCTGAATGTTGCAAACCGGCGAAGATGCTCCATTAGGGGGGTCCACGTTTTGCAAGCGTAGAGAAGGGAGGGAATGACCGTGGCCGAGAAGACCTGAAGCGTCGTGCGGAGCGACAGACCAGGTAGCTTCCACACAGCGTTACGCAACCGATGAAAAGATATTGCCGCTCAACTGATTCGGAGTGAGACCTCTGCTGTTAAACTGGAGCCGGTCATAAGCAAACTGCCCAGGTATGGGAAACTCTCCACTCTCTCCACTACTGCCCCATCACCGATTGGGAGTTGTGGGGGTGGAGTGTCCGATGGTACAAAATACCCAGGCAGGTGCTTAGTTTTGGTGGAGCTGATGGTAAGGCCCCACCTCTTAGTGGCACGCTCCAGTCTCAGCAGCAGCATCTCCAACTCCTCTTCTGAATGAGCAGTTATTACTAAATCATTGGCATACATGACGTGGTTGACCAATAGGGAGCCATCCCTTGATCGCACCCGGGTGTCTATCAGCTTCTCATTATATCTGTACCAGATGGAAATTTTCCCGGTACAGCTATTGAAGGCTTCACGAACTACGCGGTCAAAATAGATGTTAAATAATGTGGGAGCCAGAAGACATCCCTGTCGCACCCCACAGTGTACAGGGAAAGGCTCTGACTCCCGGCCACGTAGTTTTACCCGGGCCCGCTCACCATCATGAAGGGACTCTGAACGCACGAAGAACAACCCAGAGCCCAGGCCTACTGATGGTATCATAGGCCTTGACCAGGTCAATAAAGCGAAGATGTAGGTCTTGTTGGAATTCCCTACACCTTTGCTGTAGCAGACGGACAGAAAATATGGCATCTGTGTAGGACCGCCCTTTCCTGTAACCGCATTGGGGCTCCGCAAGCCTCTCCTCAGCGTGGTTAGCAAGGCGATGTTGAATAATCCTTGCCAGGACCTTTCCTGGCACACTGAGGAGTGAGATGCCCCTGTAGTTGTTACAGTCTGTGCGGTCCCCCTTCTTAAAGAGGGAAACCACCAGGGCATCCTTCCAATCCTGCGGAACCCGTCCAGTGGTCCAGACTGTTGTTATGATGTCATATAGGGCAGTCTGTGCACAAACACCACCCTCCCTGAGCATTTCTCTTGGGAGATCATCTCTGCCCGGTGCCTTTCCTAGTCTCAGACTCTGGATCGCCTTCAGTACTTCCTCAACAGATGGCACCTCAGCCAGCCACTCGCAGGGGGTGACCTCTTCCAATATTCGAGGCACCGCAGACTCAGCAGGGTTATCCCCACTTTTTGCCATGATGTTTTCTTGGCTGAGGGATTTCCCCTCCCCCAGGACCTCACAGAAATGCTCAGACAATCTGCAAACCTGTTCCTGGGGGTTGGAGATTGGATCACCGTTTTTTCCCCTAATGATGGTAATAGGTGTGGCGCTGCAGGTTACTTTTTTGATGGAATTAAATAGTGATTTGTGATCGCGGGCCACTGAGGCAGACTCCATCTCCTCAGCAACCCGCGACCACCACCCATCCTTGTAGCGCCTTACGGCTCTCCGAACCTCCGAGTGAAGGCTGCGGTAAACCCCCTCATTCTCTGACGTGGGATGCTGTAGCTGATGAGAGTGGGCCTGTCGCTTTTTCTCAACTAACCTGAACACCTTCTCTGTCAGCCAGGGTTTCTGGGGAGGTCTTGACCGCGTACCCAAAGTAGCCATTGCCGCTGCATGAGTCACAGTCCTAAACCTCGTCCATTTACCCTCGACATCAGGAGGAGTGGGGGACGATGCCAACCCCAGCTGCAAGCGATGATGACATTCTCACTTGCAACTTTCATCAGCTAACTGAGACCAGGCCACTTTAGGTTGGAATGGGGTCCTGGGTGTACACCCACCACCGGAGTGGAAGAATGGCAGGCGCATCTTACAGATGACTAGTCGATGGTCAGAGGGCAGATCAGCTCCACGGTAGGTCCTGGTGTCAAGGACATGGGCTCGCATCTGCTGGTCTGTCACTATGTAGTCCAGCAGATGTTCTTGCTTGGAGCCGGCATGCATCCATGATGTTGTGTGGATGCGCCGATACCGGAAGAGCGTGTTGGTAATTACAAGCCCATGGGCTGCACAAAAATCTATCATCCTCCTACCATTGTTATTGAGCTGATCTGGCCCATGCCTTCCAATCACTCCAGACCAGGTGCCAGCATCATGACCAACTCGAGCATTGAAGTCACCCAACAAGATGGCTCTGTCCCGAGTGGCCACTTTAGCCAGCACCTGTGACAGGAGGTTATAGAAGGCATCTGACTCATCGGCTTTTCCTGCATCCCTCCACGGATGTTCGTCTTCGGTGGGGGCATAAGTAACCACGACCACCACTCCTCGCCTCCGGTTGATGGAAAGGCGAGCCCAAATTATCCTGGGGCTTACATACACACACTCACTCTCACATACACATACACTCAATCTCACACTCTCAGACTCACACACACACTCACCCTCACACTCTCAGACTCACACACACACACACTCTCACTATTACACTCTCAGACTCACACTCACTCACCCTCACACTCTCAGACACACACACTCACTCTCACACTCTCAGACTCACACACACTCACACTCACACTCTTAGACTCACACACGCATACACTCACTCTCACACTCTCAGACTCACACAACAACAACAACAACCGCCATTCGCCACTAAGTGGCGGTAACGTCACCACGACGCTTGTGCCAGGCCAAGTGCACCTTGAGGCCACGTGAAGTGTCGAACGCCCGCTGGCAGGAGGTCACGGGGCAGACTCAGGTGCCACGGGTCGACTGACCGAGATGACTGGCTGATGCACCACCTGTGCCCCCTACTGTACCAACTTGCTGTGCTTTAGCCACCCGGCGCTCTGCTCGTTGTGCGCGTCGCTCCTCCGCCCTCCGTTGTTGTTGGAGGGCGACTGCCTCCAACTGCCCAGTAGCATCCTTCACGAGCCTCCTCCACAGATGCCGATCTTGACACCGCTGGTACCAGTCATCGGCAAGTCCACTCAGCTCCACGTCCTCCTGTACCACATCACTCCATGTCTTCTCTAGCCCGTGCCGCGCCCGTTTAGCCCCCTCGATCCGGCCGAACAAAAGCTGTTTAGGCATGCGGTGGCTGGGCATGCGGGCTACATGACCCAGCCAACGCAGCCTTGCCTGCCGGAGGAGCTCACCGATGGGACTTTGCCCAGATATTTCAAGCATTTGTGAGCTCCTCACACAATCCAGCCTGGTTAAACCCAGGATGGATCGTAGGCAGGCCAGCCTGAATGTTTCAAACCGGCGAAGATGCTCCATTAGGGGGGTCCACGTTTCGCAAGCGTAGAGAAGGGAGGGAATGACCGTGGCCGAGAAGACCTGAAGCGTCGTGCGGAGCGACAGACCAGGTAGCTTCCACACAGCGTTACGCAACCGATGAAAAGATATTGCCGCTCAACTGATTCGGAGTGAGACCTCTGCTGTTAAACTGGAGCCGGTCATAAGCAAACTGCCCAGGTATGGGAAACTCTCCACTCTCTCCACTACTGCCCCATCACCGATTGGGAGTTGTGGGGGTGGAGTGTCCGATGGTACAAAATACCCAGGCAGGTGCTTAGTTTTGGTGGAGCTGATGGTAAGGCCCCACCTCTTAGTGGCACGCTCCAGTCTCAGCAGCAGCATCTCCAACTCCTCTTCTGAATGAGCAGTTATTACTAAATCATTGGCATACATGACGTGGTTGACCAATAGGGAGCCATCCCTTGATCGCACCCGGGCGTCTATCAGCTTCTCATTATATCTGTATCAGATGGAAATTTTCCCGGTACAGCTATTGAAGGCTTCACGAACTACGCGGTCAAAATAGATGTTAAATAATGTGGGAGCCAGAAGACATCCCTGTCGCACCCCACAGTGTACAGGGAAAGGCTCTGACTCCCGGCCACGTAGTTTTACCCGGGCCCGCTCACCATCATGAAGGGACTCTGAACGCACGAAGAACAACCCAGAGCCCAGGCCTACTGATGGTATCATAGGCCTTGACCAGGTCAATAAAGCGAAGATGTAGGTCTTGTTGGAATTCCCTACACCTTTGCTGTAGCAGACGGACAGAAAATATGGCATCTGTGTAGGACCGCCCTTTCCTGTAACCGCATTGGGGCTCCGCAAGCCTCTCCTCAGCGTGGTTAGCAAGGCGATGTTGAATAATCCTTGCCAGGACCTTTCCTGGCACACTGAGGAGTGAGATGCCCCTGTAGTTGTTACAGTCTGTGCGGTCCCCCTTCTTAAAGAGGGAAACCACCAGGGCATCCTTCCAATCCTGCGGAACCCGTCCAGTGGTCCAGACTGTTGTTATGATGTCATATAGGGCAGTCTGTGCACAAACACCACCCTCCCTGAGCATTTCTCTTGGGAGATCATCTCTGCCCGGTGCCTTTCCTAGTCTCAGACTCTGGATCGCCTTCAGTACTTCCTCAACAGATGGCACCTCAGCCAGCCACTCGCAGGGGGTGACCTCTTCCAATATTTGAGGCACCGCAGACTCAGCAGGGTTATCCCCACTTTTTGCCATGATGTTTTCTTGGCTGAGGGATTTCCCCTCCCCCAGGACCTCACAGAAATGCTCAGACAATCTGCAAACCTGTTCCTGGGGGTTGGAGATTGGATCACCGTTTTTTCCCCTAATGATGGTAATAGGTGTGGCGCTGCAGGTTACTTTTTTGATGGAATTAAATAGTGATTTGTGATCGCGGGCCACTGAGGCAGACTCCATCTCCTCAGCAACCCGCGACCACCACCCATCCCTGTAGCGCCTTACGGCTCTCCGAACCTCCGAGCGAAGGCTGCGGTAAACCCCCTCATTCTCTGACGTGGGATGCTGTAGCTGATGAGAGTGGGCCTGTCGCTTTTTCTCAACTAACCTGAACACCTTCTCTGTCAGCCAGGGTTTCTGGGGAGGTCTTGACCGCGTACCCAAAGTAGCCATTGCCGCTGCATGAGTCACAGTCCTAAACCTCGTCCATTTACCCTCGACATCAGGAGGAGTGGGGGACGATGCCAACCCCAGCTGCAAGCGATGATGACATTCTCACTTGCAACTTTCATCAGCTAACTGAGACCAGGCCACTTTAGGTTGGAATGGGGTCCTGGGTGTACACTCACCACCGGAGTGGAAGAATGGCAGGCGCATCTTACAGATGACTAGTCGATGGTCAGAGGGCAGATCAGCTCCACGGTAGGTCCTGGTGTCAAGGACATGGGCTCGCATCTGCTGGTCTGTCACTATGTAGTCCAGCAGATGTTCTTGCTTGGAGCCTGCATGCATACATGATGTTGTGTGGATGCGCCGATACCGGAAGAGCGTGTTGGTAATTACAAGCCCATGGGCTGCACAAAAATCTATCATCCTCCTACCATTGTTATTGAGCTGATCTGGCCCATGCCTTCCAATCACTCCAGACCAGGTGCCAGCATCATGACCAACTCGAGCATTGAAGTCACCCAACAAGATGGCTCTGTCCCGAGTGGCCACTTTAGCCAGCACCTGTGACAGGAGGTTATAGAAGGCATCTGACTCATCGGCTTTTCCTGCATCCCTCCATGGATGTTCGTTTTCGGTGGGGGCATAAGTAACCACGACCACCACTCCTCGCCTCCGGTTGATGGAAAGGCGAGCCCAAATTATCCTGGGGCTTACACACACACACTCACTCTCACATACACATACACTCAATCTCACACTCTCAGACTCACACACACACTCACCCTCACACTCTCAGACTCACACACACACACACTCTCACTATTACACTCTCAGACTCACACTCACTCACCCTCACACTCTCAGACACACACACTCACTCTCACACTCTCAGACTCACACACACTCACACTCTTAGACTCACACACGCATACACTCACTCTCACACTCTCAGACTCACACACACACTCACTCTCACACACACATACACTCAATCTCACAGACTCACACTCACACTGTCAGACTCACACACACACTCAGCGCGGCGTTCAGGGGGGGAGGCAGTTGGATAAGTGGGCGTGTTTACCTTCCCCCCACCCTCCCCGACATCCTCAACCCACTTAACTATCGGCCCCTCCCCTTGGCTTAGGCACCTCCCCTTATCCCTTCCCTCAGGCCCCTCCGCTGACCCCCCCTCCCTTAGGCCCCTCCCCTGACCCTCCCATATCCTTAGGCCCCTCCCCTGACCCCCCTTCCCTTAGGCCCCTCCCCTCTCCGTACCCAGTAGTAGGTCTTCACCAATCAAAGAGCTGTTTGTATTATATATTTATTTATGCACGACAGACATACAGACAAAAAAATCCCTGGTGGCCAGTGTGGAACATTGTTTCTACCTGTAAAATTATTGTACACTCCTTTTCATTAAGATGTTAAACTTTCCAAAAGGCACTACTTCCTGCTTTTATTCTACTCATTTTGTTTTCAACCAGAATTGCCTGAAAGTAGTGCCCTCGCTCTCGATCATGTTTATGAAGTTATTCAATCGTATGTAGGTCATTAATGTTTGCTACTTTTTACAATGACTGTGTCATGGGCAAATCTTAGCAGAACATTTCTTCAATCGTGTTTGTTAAACCTTTATTTCTAAATTTGAGAGAAATATCCACGGTTGTAAATTACCTTTGTAAGATTTATTTTTTCTCACCTGAAGATGGACGCTTGTGTTGTGACCGAAACGTAATGTTTTATTTTATTAAAACATTCTATCTACGCGACTTTAACGAAAGAACCAGAGAGTATGGATCCCTGCAGTCACTGAACCTTTGTAAGAGCACATTTCCTTGCCTGGCTTCACTTTCTGTTTGTATTTTTTCACTCCCTTCATGCGACCTCAACGTAGCCGTGTCGTTTTGTAAACAGTTTTGGCATTGAGCGAGGCTTACTTTTCCACTTAACCAAATGGCTTTTCGCAATTTATAAGCTGGGCATAAAAGTATTTGGTATGCATTTGTCTTGTGCAGGATTTGATTGATGGGATGTGGTAATTGGTGGAAAAGACCTTTACCTAACTCCAGCTTGCTCATTGGTTGGATGGCCTCAACATTTATCCGTCATTCGGTTCCGTGAGACGTGAATGATGTGCGTGACAGGAGGCTGGTTGGTGTGTAATCCTTCAAATCGGGTTTGTCTCCTCCTTATCTCGAATAAAGTGATTGCCGAAGAATGATTCCGGGAACAGGTTTTGACTAATTTTGACCTTTAGCTAAAATGAATCAGCATTTGAATTTTTTTGTAAATTTAAATATGGCCAATATTGACACGAACTCACCCATTTTGTAAGGCCCTTTGGTGCATTTGACCCTTTTCAGAATTTCAAAGACCTGTAAGATAGACAGGAGCAGAATCGATACATTTGTGAGTTTACATTTTGCAACACTTGACTGCAGATGTACATTTGCAATGTTGTCGCTGTTTTCACAATAAACGTTGCCAAATATTTTACACGGGGTCTAGGAAAAGTTCTCGGTGAGATTGCACTTAACTTCTAATAGTTGCACGTGTGAGATACAAGTTTTAAACACTAATGCAGTTTTATCACAGTGTCACATTCAATTGCTTTCCCACTAATGCTACAATCACCCAATAGTACTAAATACTGCGCGTGCACTCGTCCTCCAATCTATTCCGCCACATGTCTCTCCCTTGGTTATCCCCGTGCTCACGACACGCGCCCATACATCTCCTCTCCTTCCCGAACTTTCTAAAATTACTCCTAACCTTCATCCCAGCTCCCTCAATCACCAATCCTCTCTTCACCTCTTTCTCTTTCTTCGCCTCCAGATCCCGTTCTTCCTTTCCCACTTTTTTTCCCCTTTTAAATTATCTGGCCAATTTCCTGGCCCCTTACTCATCTTTGCACTTCCTGCAGTCACTGTCGCAGCGACCAATGAGGCCTCCTGGTTGATTGGAAAAAAACATGGATCCCTATCCCCCATGGTGAAAATATATTTTTGTTAAATGCCAGATAAGAATTAACTGCAAATTAATGAGAATAATATGCAAACCTAACTGTTCGATTTTCATTGCTTGAGATGCATTAGACAAAAATATATAAATTTGAGTCATAACTGCTTTGATAAATGTTAGTTTGATATTTTGCCGTGCAACGCTTTTGCTCATTAAAACCAGCAATACTACTAAACATTCGGTATAATCTTTCGGCTCAAGTAAGAACATTTCACAAACAGAAGTCAAAGTATTTTGTGAAGGAAAATAAAGCATGTGAGAAAGGTTAGACTTACGTCATGTTTTTGCTGACATGTTCAATAAGACATTAAGACATGTTTGTTGGAACTTTCTGACCCGCCCCCTACTGGACAGCTGTTAAAAAGAGCTTCAATGGTCATCGGATTTCTCCGGGATAAAGAAATATTCTGATCAAAAACATGTAAGCTTAAAATTACTTTTATTATTCATACAAGGTGGATGTTTAGTTGTTTAAAATTTTGTTTGATTCACACCATTGAAAACTTACAATGCGGCTTCGCGTGGCACTGTCAAAGAATGAATCTTCACTTTTGATATCAAATCTGCAACAACAAAAAACCCCATGTTAAATACATTGCATAAAGACAAGCAAGTTAATATGATACAGTATATAGCATAATTAGATATAAATGAGAGTGGACATATCTCAAAACCGGAAGTTCCCGACCTGATAAACTTATAGTATACATTTCATCCAGACCAATTCACATAACAGCCTAAAACCACCACATTAAGCCTATTGTGAACCTTCTGAATGTAATTAAAATGTATCCAATGTTGAAACATGCCGATCAGTATTGTCTTTCTGGAGTGTTTACATAACGTTGCCAAATTCAGGTATCATTTGCTACTAAATGCACAAACTGGAAAACCAAGCCTTGGATTTGTTTTTACAAAAAATTCAGCTTGTATTTTCTTTGCTTGGATTCCGTTTAGAATTTACAATTTTCCAATAATTTAATAAACGTGCAAGTGGCTATTGAAACAAGGCGATACATCCCGTGCAGAGATATTGGGATCACTTAACGTATAATTAATCCGGAGCTTAGAATATTTTTTCTTCAACAAATATAGCAATGTTGGGTCGTGCGAATTATGAATGATGTCACACGCACAGCTTCTGCTTGTCTCTGGAGAAAGGGAACGAGAGCTTTTTCTGGGACATAGCCTCCTGCGAATGAGGCACGTTAGGCTGCAGCGCATGGTTGATTCTTGCACCGAGCCCGTGCAGCACTCCCGACGATTTCTTCATCTCAAACACCTGGATGCACAATTTCACAACACAGCAATTGCATTATCGTGTTATGTTTACCATAAGAAGTATTCTGGTAATTTGTTTCTGATGTCGGAAGAGGCTTTTCCTGGATTTAACACTCCTGACACAACTTTCTGGCCCAAAGGGTGCTGATGAATTGGCGGGAATTGATTATTTTCCCGAGGCTCTTGAGTTGCAAACTTTCGGAGAAAAATATTAAATGATCGATTCATGAATTTTGCCGCAGAAGTGTGTGGCGGGAGGTTGAATGTTCACAGAAAAAATGACGATCTAATTGAGCTGATTTAAAATATATATTTTGGTGGGGTTTTATATAGATTTTTTTGGAGTCGACATTCAAAATGCATTATATAAAATACACATGACACAGACGGTTTAACACGTAGGCTTTTGCGACCAATATCAAACATAATACAGGTATTTTTGGTTAGATCGCGTAAATATGAATGTGTCGTTAGACCCACCACCACCCGACACAGCCAAGTTTTGTCACGTAAACAGAACATGCCAATTAACAAATCGGTTTGTCACGTAAACAAAACATGCCAGACGCATAGATATGGACATATAGATGTTGTATTTACGTTCTAAGAACCATATGAACTCTGGATCTCTTTTTATAGCTGTCTATGAACAGGCTGGTTAACGCACCTTCTTAGTAGGCATCTTGATTTTGAGGAATTCGGCCTCCCTGATGAGGACCAACCAGGGTGCATGGATCCGCACGTATCCATGTCCCTCCGCCTGGTCCTAATAACAGCGACATCCACACACACGCCCAGTTGCATGCCCGTGCGTACATGTAGTGCAGCGGTTAGTGCGCTGCTCTACAAACCTGGCGACGATTATCTGAACCGGTCATGGGCCTCCCCTAGGTCGACTCAGCCTCAAATTAGTATTTGGTATTTGTGTGCCGTTACGGCCTTCATAGATGCTCGCTACCAGTCCTTGTCCCAACAGTCTGTTACAGGCTATACGGGGGGTCTTTGTATATGCATAAAATGCACACCTGTGATACAGAGGATATAACTTGGTAGCCTCACAACTGGCAGGAGCAACGATAATTATGGTTCAGTAAATTTGGCACACATCATCAACCACCGTCAATGCTTCAATAGATTAGTGTAAACGAAAACACTTACTTCCTCATCCCATTCCAGTTCAAGTCTGGCATCCATTAAGTTTTGCTCAAATTCCTCCCGGCACATCATCTGCTCTTTCTCCAAAAGGTGGTGGCTGTTGGGTCCCATCTCACTGCCCTCCTCCAACACGGACGTTTTTCTGGAACGTGCGCGTTTGGTCAACTCGTCTTCAGTTTCCGACTTCTCAGCTGGAGCAGTGATGACTTCCAAAGTTGTTGCAATGTTTTCCTCACTTGTTGGGCTCCCAGGAAATGATCTGTGCCCCTTGAAGTGGTACGCCAACACGAAGTCAACCCGCCTCTTTCCATCCCGCATGTAAGGGCCTCCCTTTGGGATGTCCATTACGTCACTCACAAAGTTATTTAAAACCTGCAAAGTGAAAAAAAGCCTCCGCATGAACAATTATGAGATTAGAGACGATACTCCGCTCAAATAATACGCCGACGAGGTTGCTCAACAATAGAGGGGAAGGTTGCAACACATTTAAAATCCTGGTTAGGGGGACGAATGACTCAGCCCATCTTCCCTCCAATGTTGATATAAAATAAGTGTCACTTTGTGGAGAAGTCAATGGCGGTTTTCTTCAGGACAGACTCACCCTGCCATAGAAATGTGGATTTCCCAACACTGGCTCAGGACTGTAAACAGGAGATGAGCACTGCCTCAATGTTTGTTTGAGCATCAGGAAATCACTTTGACTTTAGAACAATGAAGACAATAATTAACACATCGAATAGGACGGTATTCATTTCTGTTTTCAATAATTTAGTATTTACATTTGTTATGCATATCAAGTGCGACAGGCCAATTCACGAGGTGAGAGCATGATCACTTTTACAATACTCGTCAGCATCATGTTGAGCACGAGCCTATATGTTAGTCCACACTCTGTCTTGGTCTTTTCTACAGATCCTTTGAGATCTTCAAAAGTTAAGTTGTCTCCCCACTGAAACGCTAATGTTTTTGAGCCAGTGATGAATTTAAGGGCTCCCAATGATTACATGCAGTTCATAGCACGCATAACTAACTATCCCAGCTCTGCATGTGCTCGTCGCTCTCATATCTTTCCAAGCGTTTAATTTTGCACTCAGGTCCTCAATGCGAGCGTGCGGTATTTACCTGCAAGCCTGTGTAGAAGGTGCGGTGGATATCCTTGTCCTTATCGCTTTCCTGGATAGAGTCTGCAACAGTATCCAACGCAATCATCGGGGGCACCATCAGCAAGCTGTTATCCTGATTTTTCATGCCCTGCAAGGTAGCGTACACACAGACCACTGAATTCCAACATGACCGTATCTGCTTTTCCCCACACCCACTGCACGTGATACGTGCTGCATGTGCTGTGTAGACTGTCCAACATTATGCGACTAAGCAACCTGATGCAAAGACTAATACAATGACAAAAAACAATAAGAGCTAATTGGGAAAAGTTGGTGACAAATGTCAGCAATAACGTTCATTACAATTTTCATATAATCTGTAATGTGTAGTTGAACAAGTTCTACAACAAACGGGGGAAAAAATAGTTCGTGATGATCAAATATAAACGTAAGTATTTGGGTGCCGCTGAAACTTCAAGTTTGTTGGTTTCAAGGTCACGGGCTCGTCGTTTCAAGACAATCCCTCAGTAATGTACTGGCCGCACAGCGGCGGCGAAAAATATACTACAGCCAATAAACATACTCCTTGGTTCTTTCGGTAAAGTCACTTAGGTAGAAAAACAAATAATAAATTACGACGTTTCGATCGCAGTTCTACGGCTGTATCTTTCTACCTGATGACGATTGCTTGTGTTGTGATCGAAACGTCGTAACTTATTGATTTTTTATACCTACGTGACTTTACCGAAATAACTAAAGAGTATGGATTTCTTCAGTCACAAAAGCTTCAAATCAAGATTGAACCAATAAACAGTCACGGTGCAGTGAAAAAGAATCGGAGACCCTGAGCAACCTGTGACTGAACAGGGTAGAACGAGATTCTCCGTTGATGACTTTTACACCAAAAGTAACAAATTGAGAGGAGGGGTGTCACCCAATAACACTGAAACTTCACTTTTTCCATATGGACGTATTGGCGGTCCACCGGTGCCAGTCTAACGATGTCGCTGTTGCCCCTTGAGTGAGCTGCAGACTCTCCATCAGAAGTTGCCTTAGATTCAGCAGCTTGCTTTCCCATTCGAACGTGTGACATTAAGTCCTAATCTTTTCATGCCACCGTCCACCAAAATTTTTTTCCGGAAATTAATTGAGGAACCGTCCAACCAAGTCTCGGGCACAAGGAGTCAAACCTGCCTTTGGAACACGGAGCAGCCAATCGTCATCGCGCTGGGTGCTGCTATTTGGCAACATATGGTGTGGCTTCGTGTTCAGCTGCTCATAAACGTTAGTCTTTCAACTGCTTCAACATCACGAGAACTAATTTTGACGCACCATCACCACCCCACAATATTTTCTGACCAGGGTTTGCGAATCGCGGGAAATAAATAAATATTCATATATTTTTATACTGCGCACCACCGGTGTACCGCCAATACGTTCACTTGCATATTGCGTGGCACCCTAAAGTGTATTTATAAATTGGCAGCCATTTATAAATGGAAGTTGCCAGGCATCCCGGTCTACAACTCGCGGGAAACTCACTGCAGTTCATGCCCAGCGTGCTGCGGTGACGACAATATCCAAAGGCAGCTACAGCAGCTCTTTTGAATCCAAAGATCCACGTCTGACATTGGGGGACCATATGGAGGATTCTGCAATCTGTGGCGCACCGCGGACGTGAGAATTATAATCGGTGAAAAATGTTCCATGCCGACGCAGTGTGAATTAGCCATGCGGCTCCATAAAAAAAGTGAAAACAATTACAGATAACGGGGAAAGTGTGGCAAGTGGTGAGTGGTTATTTTTGTCTCAGATCCAAATGGGCACAAATCTGCCTATGGGTTTATGTTAAACCATATTTTGCATTATAAAGACTTGATATTCAAGGTTAAAAAAAAACCTTTTCTAATCAATACATCGTGTCAGCACGGCTCGTGTGTGCAACGTAAACCAAGAAAAGTAGCAAACCCCATTTTCCCTGCAACTTCGCTTCTGCAGCTCTCCGTTAGGCCCTGCACACTGTGGCAGTTTTCAGTCTGCCAGGCGTTTTCAATCCACCTCGGTGTGCCACGGATTATAGCGAATCACCGATAATTAATCATTGATTTACGGGGATTCGTGTAATATTATATCGCAAAATAAGGGGGTATACCAACGTCTAATGCTACTCTGGGTGCAGTGGCGGCTCCTGCAAAATCTCTCAGGGGGGGCAAATGTCTGGATGATTGATAAGGATAAGGTCCACCCATGCAATGGATAAATTAACAGCTTAAGCATGTAAAGGCAACTTCACTTCTTTAATATTAATGAAAAATAAAGTGACTCTTACAATACATCTTGTTTGTTTCTATACTCACTATTAAAACAAACCACTCAAGTTTATTTTATTAAAGATTCCACTAGGTAGCGATAAATTATATTGTTGGATGAAACGTGCTTACGTATGATGACGTTAGCACGTATGATGACGTAAGCACGTTAGTGCATGCCCTCCCGGAAGCCATAGAGAATGCATTGGAGCGCCCCCGTTCGAAAAAAAACATCTTTGAATGTAAGTCTATGGGCACACTCGGGGCGATTCTCAGCCGGAGTGAAATCGCCCAAAAAGAGGCGGTACTCCACAGAACGTGACATGATGCTGATTGGACTATATCCAGAGGCTGACAGTGACGGCTAGCGTGACTCTGTGGTTGAATGACATTGGTGGTGCGTCGCCCAATCGCCCTAATGAAGAAACCGCCCCTGTCTGGGTGGTTGGTGAATAAGTTGTATCTCATTTTGTTACACAATGTAAGGGAAGTGACCTCGTGAAGAAGTATGGGCACATCCCAACAGAGCAGCGGCCACGCCATGGGCTGACATGTGTTTGAGCCCGATGGTGGATGCGTAAAGTAGCAGCTTGCTGCTCTGCCAACACAACTGCTTCTCTTTGTGCTTCTTCCCTCGCTCTGCTCCACTTTCGAATTCCTTCCCATCGTCCCTTTCCAAATCCAGTAACAAATTTCAGTAACATATTATAGTAACATATTTCACCTGGAAAATGTCTTGAGATGGGACATTATCATTCGCAAGGATGTAATGCAATGTATGCAAACATGTTCAATCTTATCTAATACCATTTTAAGTGCTGTTTGTTGCTGACCGCTTAGTGTTTTGGCCCTTTGAGCCAGTGCTCAGCAACCATGACAAAAAACCCTCTGTAAGGCATCTTGCAGAAACAGATTTTAAATAAGCGGCCTCATCAGCCACATTTGGCTTCCTTAACAACCATCATCGTCATCATCGCTGCCATCATCGCCACCGTTATTTGAGCTTCAATGTGAATGGTCTCATCACGGATGACGTGGATGCTGACATCAAATGCAGGAATTTTAATATTTTTCTGAATTTATATCAGTACCACCAACATCAAACTCACTCATCATCCACGCAATTACACATGTAGGCGATCTGCGAGCCATCCTCATGCACTCGCACCACGCAGACATGAAATCTCCGCACTCAGCATTGCACACACCAATCACACGCACGGGAATACACTAGACGGGGGTCAATGGTTAAGGGGCACTGACGTCACATGGACTCAGCGTGCGAGACGGAGATGTGTGTTGGGAACGAGGGCGGAGATGGAGGGTTTTAAAGGGGCTGCGAGGAGCGTGTTCGTGGACTCAGCCAAAAGACGCTCTAGGTGCCCGGGACGAGAATTGCTCGGAAATGAAACCGACGAGTCGGGATTCGTCCCCCGGCTCATCGGCGGGATCCGTGGCAGCTGCTCGCCCCGTGTGGGCACCTTCCTCCACTAACCCGGCGGTGCAGACCCAGCGCCGCCGCCGCAGATCATCCTCTAGGGATCGGAGGATGGATCAGCTGCTGGAGGCAGTAACTGCGCTGCTTCGCCGGCTGAGTCCTAAGGTCGAACGAGCAGGGGGAACTTCAGCCGCATCACCTCCCCAGCGAGGGGACGGGTGCCACGGTCAGCCTTCCCGACCAGGCACTCCGCAGCAGCTATCAGGGGATGGAGCAGCACCAGCGACGCTGCCGACCGTGTGTCCTGCGCGGGACCCGGAAAAAAACCCTGGCCTCTCCTACCGATATCCGCCGACAGCAGGGGCAACCGAGGGACATGAACGACTGGAGCGCAACAGTGAACAGCTGACCGGGCAAGGGCACAGGTCGGGAGCAAAATTCAGCCCGAAACTCAGCCAAGGCAGCCTGCAGATGGAGGACCAGGATGGAGCCGCCAGCTGGGTTCGATACAGAGGTTCGTGTCCAGATCAGGAGAATGGCGTGCTTTCGTCCACCGGTTCGACGCGGCCGCCCGGGCAATGAAGTGGACGGAGTAACAAGCCCTGACAATGCTGCCCACTGTGTTGGACGACCCCGCACTGGCAGCGTTCGACTGGATCCCGCCTGCAAAAAGAGGATCCCTGCAGGGTGTCTACAAGGAGATGGCGGAGGTGTTCGACCATCCGTCCGGGGCGCACCAGAAGTAAAAAAACAATCGCTCCTGGTCTTCAGGATGGAATTGTTGACGCTGGCAGAAGCCGCACTCCCACGGCTCAACAAGCCGGGCCTGGACTCGCTGGTGGCAGAGGGGCTCCTTGCCATGGAGTAATGCTGCCGGTGGTGGAGGAGGAAGCCTGCTCCTCGCTATGGGTTGCACGACATATCTGTGCTTACGAAGAGATGGCGGGACCCGCGCGAAGTGTGGCACACATTGCATAGCATCGCGGTGACGTCGAGGGGCTGCCACGGCCCCCAACCAGACACGCGCCGCCAGCGGAGGAGGACGAGGGAGAAATGGTGGCGGCCCTGCAGCAGTATCCGAGGATCCCGCGGGAAATGGAGTGCCAACCCTGGCGCTGGCCACCTCACGAGGCAGGAGAGCATCCTCGGGTAATGGATGAAGTAATCTGCCATTGCTGCGGTCGTGAGAGACACATCGCCTGCGGATCCCGCAGCAAGTCAAGCGCACCGGGGACGACCAGCTGGGATCGTCAGCCTCGGTCCATGGCCGTTCCGACTCAGGCGAGTGCTGACACCTCGGACACCCGGCCAGAACCATCCACCCCAGGTTCACCCCATTACGCATCTCATTTCTCGGGGCGGCGACTATAATTTCTGCTGATGGTCCGGGCCCATGGCCGG